AAAATCATTCAAGCATCGCAAGGGGGTCATATTAATTATTTATGATCGTGTGTTTGCTGGAAAAAAACATGTTATTTACCATGTACAATTTTATTATTTTTTTAATTATATGCATTTTTCATATTTTATTAAATTAATAGAAGTATTCAAAGTTTTTTGGTACTATTTTTGACTTACTCTATATGGTTATAATAAATCCGTAATAATTGCAAACTATTATATGTATAAGTGAGATATTAGATTTTGCACCTGAAGCGGATTATTAAAATAAATTTCTAATTGTATTATGTCTATTATCTATTTATCTATAGGTAWATATTTATTAGACCACGGATGTRTCAATAATTATTTTTCTGCTAAAATAATWACTAAAGGTATAGTAATACCTTCCTTAAAACACCGAGTCTAAATAAGCCATTGGTAGCTATTTAAAATATAAATCACAAGACACAAATGTAAAAAAATATATCATAAAGACTTGAATAATTTCTCTAACCTGAATTACAAGTTTTATCTACGAGTTATTATTATTCATTCATATGAACATTTGACATTTATHACTACTATTAGTAGGTATGTTATGATAATGATAATTCTTTTAGCACTAATGCCCAAGTTAAATACAGAATTAAAACTAATCAAGCTAAAAAAATAAACCAGAATATTAAAAATTGTAATTGAAACTTATTTAGAATAATATATTTTCAATAATCAATTATTTGATAATTGTATAAATAATAGTTTATTATATGAATAACACTTAACCTATATCAACTTAAAATTATTTCTTTTACAGAACATAAATTAATTAATGGAACATTAACTTACTGCAGTTTGACTTGACTTACTTTTCTAATAAATGATAATCTTTGTTGGCAATAAACATATTTTTATTCACTAGATTACGTTTTTTTTATTGTGAAGCAATGACAAGGCATAAGGAAAGTATCATAATCATAAACATAAAATCAGACATAAGAATATTATAACATTAATTAAAAAGGCTATTATAAGTCATAACAATTTAATTAATTAATTAAATTCAACTGATTTTATCTTATATATTTTTGTTAATTAAATAAATATTTGCATATCTCACTGTATTATYGGCACCTACCGTGATATTTTGGCCTTATATGCACTAAAATATTACACAAAAGTATGCACTTTATGATACAATTATAGTAGTAGGTAGACCTAATTTATAACACAAGGTAATTGTAATTTWGAAGAATATTTAGCTGTTAGATTTTAAAACCAAACAAATATGATAAAAATAATTTGATGATGATTATAAAATAAAAAGTACTTACTTGGATCGTTTATAACAATGTACTAAACAAGAACCTAAAAATATCTATAATCTGTAAAAATATTATAACAGGAGTAAATTCGGTCAAGGAATATTATGGAAAATTCGTTTTAGATACGCCGTGAGAATATTTCAAGGTTTTTTTACATTTTTATTTTATTTTACTCTCGATTATTTTGTATAACATGCAAAACTATAGGTGTAACAATTAGAAGGTTTATTGTTACATTTAATGCACTTCAAAAATTCAAAATAAAATATTTTAAAAATAGCGATTTGTAAACGTTGTGACATATAATGAATGTTAATAGTATATTAAAATACAATATTAAAGTCTAGCCGAGTTTCGGTATATCAGTTCCGCATTGTTTCCGTCTTCAGTGAACTATGAAAYCCAAGAGTAGAAAGAGGTAACTTCCGGATAAATAACTACGTTTAAAAGTACAGCGTATCTATCGATAAATCGCATAAATAATCTTGATCACAAGAATAAACCATCTAACTGCCATTTCCAACGGAATTATTATTTATTTTTTTGTCTTCAACTATGTTCAAGCTGGTCTTCATAGCAATTATTTTGGAATTCGTATTAACGGTGCGGTGTGGTCCAATGCCGCGACAGCGAATAGACGGCGAGCAGAATCATAGACAAGAACAACAAAAATATGCAGTTGACCGCTTTACGACTGGACTGGTGGGGAATCCTATAATCCGCGAAAATTACCTCAACTGTTTTTTAGATAATGGGCCGTGCAGTCCGGAAGCTAATAATATTAAACGTAAGTATACATTAAAATTTATTGAAATTATAAAAAAAATATAATATTAAATATAAAAAGAGGGAAAGTAAGTAACATTTCAGCTGTACAGTATGAACCTATCGAGTTTGCTTCGTCATATTGAGAAGCAAGTACACACTGCATGCATTAGACTTGAATTCAATGAATCATTGCGATATTGCACATGAAAAATGATTCTGAGAAAAGACAATCTGTGAGCCTAATAATTTAAATACAAAGTATATTATACGATATATTTATTTATTATTATTAAAGTATAATTSATTTGATTATTAGTAATACGACTGTAGGTTRATAAAAAATTTAAAAAACTATTATTTTTTAGATTGTCATAGCTAAACACCAAAGTGAGTTACTTATGATAMATTTCGCATTCATTTTTCTATCCTTAGCAATACAAATTAAAACATTTTATCATTTTTTATCTAAAAATAATTTGTAAATGCTCGTRGTGATTGAATTTCTTGTAAGATTTAACCTTAAAATTYATATAAGAAAATTGCTCGTTATCTTAAAATATAAACTTTGTTTTAAATTTTACAGTTTTTTGATCAAGTGAAAATKATTTTTAAAAATTTAGGTACCTTTAGGAAAAAATTTAAATTAAAAATGTTTTTAATCTATACCAGATTAGAAAATTATAATAAGAATATTTAGTAAATAATAAGTATTTACGGTTATTCGATTTTAAATTGCACGAAAAAAATAAAGTCAAT